AGTACTATGTCCTCCCTTCCTCTGGCATAACTGTTATTTTCAGTACTACTGTCCCCCCTTTTCCTCTGGATAGTTATTTCAGTCCTACTGTCCTCCCTTCCTGGCTACGTTATGTTCAGTACAAACGTCCCCCCTTTCCCTTTGGGCATACTGTTTGTTCATTCTACTGTCCTCATCTTCCTCTGGCATACTTGTTTTGTTATGTAGTCATGTCCTCCCTTCGCTCATATGTATGTTCAGTACACTGTCCTCCCTTCCTTTGGCATACGTTATGTTCAGTTCCACTGTCCCCCTTCCTCTGGCATACTTTTATGTTCAGTCTATTCCCCTTTTTTCCCAATTCCCCTTCCGGCATACTTTATGTTCGTCCACTTCCCCCTTCCTCTGGCATACTGTTATGTTCAGTCCTTACTGTCCTCCCTTCTCTGGCATACTGTTATGTTAGTCCTACTGTCCTCCCTTCCTCTGGCCATATGTTATGTTCAGTTATACTGTTCTCATCCGGATATGTTTGTTCAGTACCTATGTCCTCCTTCCTCTGGCATATGTTATGTTCAGTCAAATGTCCTCCCTTCCTCTGGCATACTGTTATGTTCAGTACTATGTCCTCCCTTCCTCTGGCATACTGTTATGTTCAGTACTACTGTCCTCCCTTCCTTGGCATACGTTATGTTCAGTACACTGTCCTCTTCCTCTGGGATACTGTTATGTTCAGTCCTACTGTCTCCTTCCTCTGGCATACTGTTATGTTCAGTATTACTGTCCCATCCCTTCCTCTGCATACTGTTATGTTCAGTACTACTGTCCTCCCTTCCTCTGGCATACTGTTATGTTCAGTCCTACTGTCCTCCCTTCCTCTGGCATACTGTATGTTCAGTCCTACTGTCCTCCCTTCCTCTGGCATACGTTATGTTCAGTACTAATGTCCTCCCTTCCTCTGGCATACTGTTATGTTCAGTGCTACTTGTCCTCCCTTCCTCTGGGCATACTGTTTGTTCAGTCCTACTGTCCTCCCTTCCTCTGGCATACTGTTATGTTCAGTATACTGTCCCTCCCTTCCTCTGGCATACTGTTATGTTCAGTCCTACGTCCTCCCTTCCTCTGGCATACTGTTATGTTCAGTCCTACTGTCCTCCCTTCCTCTGGCATACTGTTATGTTCAGTGCTACTGTCCTCCCTTCCTCTGGCATACTGTTATGTTCAGTGCTACTTGTCCTCCCTTCCTCTGGCATACTGTTATGTTCAGTCCTACATGTCCTCCCTTCCTCTGGCATACTGTTTGTTCAGTACTACGTCCTCCCTTCCTCTGGCATACTGTTATGTTCAGTAACTACTGTCCTCCCTTCCTCTGGCATACTGTTAATGTTCAGTCCTACGGTCCTCCATTCCTCTGGCACATTACTGTTAATGTTCAGTAATTCCCCTGTCCTCCCTTCCTATGGCATTACTGTTATGTTTAGTAACTATTGTCCTCCCTTCCTTCTGGCCATACTCGTTATTTCAAGTACTGACTGTCCTCCCTTCCTCTGGCATACTGTTATGTTCCGTCCTACTGTCCTCCCTTCCTCATGGCATACTTTATGTTCAGTCCTACTGGTCCTCCCTTCCCTCTGGCATACCTGTTATGTTCAGTACCTTACGGTACTCCCATTCCTATGGGCCATACTGTTATGTTCAGTCCTTTACTGTCCTCCCTTCCCTCTGGCATACGTTATGTTCAGTCCTTACTGTCCTTCCCCTTCCTCTGGCATACTGTTATGTTCAGTACCTTACTGTCCTCCCTTCCTCTGGCATACTGTTATGTTCAGTCCTACTGTCCTCCCTTCCTCTGGCATACTGTTATGTTCAGTACTACTGTCCTCCCTTCCTCTGGCATACTGTTATGTTCAGTGCAGATTAACTTTATTATCCCACCAGGGGGAAATTCATTTGGTCATGTGCGCAAAAAGACGGTCCATAAAACATGAAAACACAAAAACGACACAATAGTATTCATTCAAAGTGCTATAACTACACTTTTAAAGTGAAAGTGCAATCTGCTCTATACTCCAGGGACCAACAGACAACCTATTATATAGCCTAATGGCTGTTGGAATAAAAAAGTCCCCATATCTATCTGATTTTCTTTTGAAGAAGTCTCTTTCCCCTTGTCCAGCTGCTGCTGTGACTGATCTTTGAGTGAAGGAGATGAGTACTGTCCTGTAAAATGCTTTCAAGTTTTAGGAGGATGAATTTTGTGCGCAGGTTGGCGGCTGATTCTTGATCTATACCAGTTATCCTTCCAGTCGTCTTAATCAAGCGCTGAAGCTTGACTTGGTCTTGCACTCGCATGTTTCCAAACATGTATACCAGACCAAAAAAGACAGCACACTCCGCAGGACAGATTTATAGAACATTTGTAAGATATGGCGGTCGACATTAAAATGGTTCAGTTTGCGTTAAAAAAAAACATTCTCTGTTATCTTTGCAAAGGCACAGTCACAGAATTTGAGTTTATTGTCTATTTCAATTCCTAGATATGTATCTGTGATCACTCTATCGACTGATTTCGCATTGATCTTCGTAGGGGGCAGTGACGTTTTGTTCCTTCTGAAATCAATTTCATCTCTTTTGTTTTCTTAACGTTTATTTCAAGAAAGTTATCTGTGCACCACTGGATTCATTTTCTCTGTCAAAACCTTGAAGAGAGGCTTGGTCTGCGTGGAGGAAACCCACAACAACAGAATTTGTGGGCTGCATCAGAGGCTTGACAATCGTTTGTGTACAGTATCGGTGAAAGTTTGCAACCTTGAGGGGCTCCCGTATTCACCGTTCTAGATGTAGAGATGGTGGAGTTAAACTTCACTTGTTGAGTACGGTTCACAAGGAAACTATTAATCCACGATCAGTAGAGAGTTGACACCCAAATCCACCAGTTTATCCCCCAGTAGGTGGGGTTGGATGGTGTTAAACGTGCTACTGAAGTCAATGAATACAATTTTCACTAGGCTATTTGCCTTTTCTAAATGTTCGTAGATATTGTTCAGCATGACCAGTAACGCATCAACAACACCCCTGGAGGCACGGTAGGCGAATTGGTACAGATGTCTGGGCTACAGGGCAACGTATACTACCCATCACTGTGACCTGTACGCTCTTGTTGGCTGGTCCTCACTACATATTCGTCGCCAAACCCACTGGCTCCAGGCCATCTATAAATCACTGCTAGGCAAATCCCCGCCTTATCTTAGCTCATTGGTCACCATAGTAACACCCACCCGTAGTATGCGCTCCAGCAGGTATATCTCACTGGTCATCCCCAAAGCCAACACCTCCTTTGGCCGCCATTCCTTCCAGTTCTCTGCTGCCAATGACTGGAACGAATTGCAAAAATCTCTGAAGCAGGAGACTCTTATCTCCCTCACTAACTTTAAGCATCAGTTGTCAGAGCACCTTACCGATCACTGCACCTGTACACAGCCCATCTGAAATTAGCCCACCCAACTACTTCATCCCCATATTGTTATTTATTTTGCTCATTTGCACCCCAGTATCTCTATTTGCACATCATCTCTTGCACATCTATCATTCCAGTGTTAATACTAAATTGTAATTATTTTGCACTATAGCCTATTTATTGCCTTAACTCCATAACTTGCTACATTTGCACACACTGTATATATATTTTCTGTTGTATTTTTGACTTTATGTTTTGTTTTACCCCATATGTAACTCTGTGTTGTTTTTATCGCACTGCTTTGCTTTATCTTGGCCCGGTCGCAGTTGTAAAGGAGAATTTGTTCCCAACTGGCTTACCTGGTTAAATAAAGGTTAAATAAAACATTTTTATAAAAAAATACCACCCTGCAGGGAGGAATACAGATGTCAGGGCTACAGGGCAGCGTACCACCCTGCAGGGAGGAATACAGATGTCAGGGCTACAGGGCAGCATACCACCCTACAGGGAGGAATACAGATGTCAGGGCTACAGGGCATACCACCCTACAGGGAGGAATACAGATGTCAGGGCTACAGGGCAGCGTACCACCCTACAGGGAGGAATACAGATGTCAGGGCTACAGGGCAGCGTACCACCCTGCAGGGAGGAATACAGATGTCAGGGCTACAGGGCAGCGTACCACCCTGCAGGGAGGAATACAGATGTCAGGGCTACAGGGCAGCGTACCACCCTGCAGGGAGGAATACAGATGTCAGGGCTACAGGGCAGCGTACCACCCTGCAGGGAGGAAACCAGATGTCAGGGCTACAGGGCAGTGTACCACCCTGCAGGGAGGAATACAGATGTCAGGGCTACAGGGCAGCGTACCACCCTGCAGGGAGGAATACAGATGTCAGGGCTACAGGGCAGCGTACCACCCTGCAGGGAGGAAACCAGATGTCAGGGCTATAGGGCAGCGTACCACCCTGCAGGGAGGAATACAGATGTCAGGGCTACAGGGCAGCGTACCACCCTGCAGGGAGGAAACCAGATGTCAGGGCTACAGGGCAGCGTACCACCCTGCAGGGAGGAATACAGATGTCAGGGCTACAGGGCAGCGTACCACCCTGCAGGGAGGAAACCAGATGTCAGGGCTATAGGGCAGCGTACCACCCTGCAGGGAGGAATACAGATGTCAGGGCTACAAGGCATAAATCGTTATTTTTCTTTTGGCCTGTTGTTTTTAGGTATTGGGACAATCAGCGACTCCTTCCATAAGTCTGGAATCATCCCACTGTTCAGCGACAGCTGGAACAGCTTCTGTAACGGTAATGCGAGCTGGTCTGCGCATGCCTGAAGTACCTTGCTGCTGACGCCGCCTGGACCATATGATCTCTGTAGGTTGACACGTTGAAAGCATTGCTTTATGTAATTCACAGAGATCGGTATATCAACAGCTGGTATGCTGTCTATACTGTCCAAAGCCACTTCCTGCTGCGATGTAAAATCACACACGTCAAACCTGCAATAGAAACTGTTCAAATAAATTTGCAAAAGCAAGGTCATTTTCGACGGTCATACAATGTCTCTTTGGTTTGTAGCCTGTGATGGTTTGTAGCCCTTGCCAGGCTTTCTTACTGTCCTTGTCCTTGAAAAGGTTTTCTAATGTGTCTTGCACTCCTTCATTTTGCTTTTGAGTCTCCTCTGAATATTTTTCCTTTCCTCTTTACAGCCACCTGATTTAAACACTTTTTTTTTTCTGGTTGAGGAGCTATTTTAATTCCAGAGTTACCCACGGTTTATTATTGGGGAAGATATTGACTTTCTTTTCGGGAATAACGAGATCCTCACAGAAACGGATGTACTCAGAGACGGTATCTGCTGCCTCTTCCAGGTCGTCGGCGCTGCCCGTCGGGGCCGCCCAGTCAGTGGACTCAGAACAGTCATGGAGGACTTCTGTCACTTCAGGATTCCAGCTGTTAATCTCCACCGTTTTAGCCTTCTCTCACTGCTGACGGTTTGTAGACTGGGATGAGCTGAACCATGTTATGATCCAAACCCCCTAAGATTGGGTAGTTCCCTTGGAAAAATACGCACCTGGGACGTTACCATAACAGAGGTCCAGACAGGCTTTATTTTGGGTAGGACATGTAACATATTGCTGATATGATGGTAAATGTTCAGATGGATTGAACATGTTAAAGTCCCCCCAGGATCAGCTTCACTGCTTCAGGTGACGGTCTCCGCCTGGGATACAAGGTCATGGATCAAGACGGCAGCTGTTTGGGTGTCAGCGGAGGGGGTCAGGTAAACAATAAATAGTCTGACCTCATTTATTTCCCGTGGCAGGTAGCATGGCCGTAGGTTAAGAGGAGTTCAATGTCTTTAGTACAGACCTTGGTGCTTAGTTGTAATATGGGCAGGATTGCAATATTTCTCGTTGATGAATGCACAAACTCCATCACCTTTTCTCTTACCTGAGTTGATGTTTCGGTCCATTCTAAATGACTGTGTAGCCATGCAGCTCCACAACGGAGTCGGGATCCTATTCCGTAAGCCAGGTCTCAGATAGACAGATCAAGCAGGATTGTCGGTACTCAGAGGTATTGGGTACAAGCTCATCAGTCTTACTCCTTACGCTTTGTACATTGCCGTGCATAATAGATGGGAGAGGTGTTCTGAAGGGCTGTTTTTTAAATCTGATTCCGAATGCCTCCTCTACTGCCACGCTTCCTTGGTTTAGATGCCTTTTCTGTACTCTAATGGACTCTACTGTTCTGTCTTGTGAACTTGTGAAACATAGACGTCGATGATTGGTTCAGATTTGGTCCGGTTCGTACCAACCAAATTTGGTCTTGTTTGGGGGCGGGGGGGGGGGGATAAATCACAATGAATACATCACATATCCATCATTCTGCATTTGTGTCTAGTACAGATCAGGGACATGATGTTACTGGGCGTTAATCCTCTTCACCTACTGTAGTTCAATAACCGAACTAGATATATTCTTTCAAACTCAAGGTGTCATATCATAGCTGACACCCCATTCTTTCCGCAGACACCTTTGAATCTTAATTCAGAGTAGATATTTAAGAGTTTTTGGAAATCTAAAAGATTTTACCGTCATTCTGTTACAAAACGTTACATCCTCACTGTTCTTCAAGTAAATAGGCAAGTAGTAAGTAGGGCGGCGGGTAGCCTGGCGGTTAGTTGTGTTTTTGTAACATTGTCAGTGGAAATTGTTTAAAGTCGTCCTTGTGCATAGAGTTCTATGGTTTGTAAAACTTTGCAATCAATGGTTTTTGTTTGGCATCCATTTTAAGGTGCTCAGCACTAAGCATCATTGCCATAACTGAGAGAGAGAGGGGAACATAGCTTTTTTCTCTGATGAGTTGTAAACAATGTCTCTGACAGGCCTTAGCTTTGTTTGTTTTTTCTGCATCTCAATAGCCCAGCTATAAGTGACAGACAAGGGTTGCTTCCCAAATGGCACCCTATTCCCTATATAGTACACTACTTTTGGCCAGAGCAAAGTCCAAAGTAGTGCACTATATATGGAATAGGGTGCCATTTGGGACGCAAAGGCTGGTTTATTTTCTATTCAGTGTCAATACATTTATGGGTCTGTCTTCTTCCTGCTCTGTTCCATTTAGACGTGTTCCACTTCCTGCCTGTCTGCTTGCCTGCCTCATTGACGGTTCAGGGAGAAATTATGTAGAGACCAAAAATATTCTGTCACTAGAGAGAAAATTAGAATTAGAGTGAGAAGGAGCGGGATGAGAGACGAGAGAGAGAGAGAGAGAGGAGAGAGAGAGAGAGAAAGAGAGAAGAGAGAGAGAGAGAAACGATACTAGAGAGATATCGAGAAAAAGAGAGAGATTAGATATAGAGAGAATCGATATATCGCAGCTAGCAGAGCATACATCTCATAGCCTATATCTCTATCCATCTCTCTCCTACTAGATACTTTAGAGACCCTATTCTTTTTGCCCCCCCCGCTATACAAAATATCCTATACTGATAAAAAAAGGATGGAAAGAAATTTTCCATCCTTCCCCGTTTTCCCTTTTCTCATTTCCCTTAACTCGAAGAACATTAAACCCCTTATTCATTCTACGAGCGCAGGAAACAAGACTATCGCAATAATCCGAGCTGCACCACCAATCCCCCTTCTCCACCTAAAAGAACGTTCACCTATCCACCCTTTCCGAATTCTCACGTCACCCCCCTATCCCCTAATTCACCTCTCACCCAACCTATGCCGGCAAACCGCACTAAAGGTTCCAGGGGCCCCCTAGCCTCTCCTCTTTTTCTAGTCAAGTCTCTGAACGTGAGGCCCCAAAATTTCCCCCTTTTCCCTATACAAACCACTTATTACCCAAGAACTCATACCCACCACAAAACTTTCCATTCCCAATTGCTTCAAATAACATTCCTCCCCCTATCCCCCAAAAAACACTTTACTTTTCACCTTAAGGCTATTTCCCAACATGCCCCAAATTCCTCCCAAAACCCCCCCCTTTTTTGGGTTTTTTTTTTAAAAAAACCCCCGGGGCCCCGCCCCCCCCTTAGGCAACCGGCCCTTTAACTGAAAACTTTAAAACCAGGCCCCTTTTTACCACTTATCGGGGCAAATCCCCCTCCCCTTCTGTTTTAGATGATCCATTTGTTCCCCTATTTAAATTTATAGACGAGAATAGAATCTATAAACATTCATTCTTGAGCTTCAATCTCTCTCTCGTCTCCCTCCTCCGAACCACCGCCTATCTCTCTCCTTTTTCCTCGCTCTGTCCGCCTCCCCCTACGCGACCCCCTCTCCGCCTGCCCGCTACGATGCTCCTCACTTCTCATCTCTCGGCAATAGCTAGAGCTCGACCCCTCGTCTCAGAGTCGCTCTCGGAGCGATGAGACTCAGAAGTCAGAGAAGAGACCATCTACTAGAGAAATAAGAGCAGACGATCAGAAAAGACAAACAATTAAAATGTACATTCATTACTGAACTGAGATGTAAGAGCAACATTTGCCAGGACAACTAATTCCGAGCTGCCAACCAAACCTAACATTCCTGCACCATTACTCCCACCTAAAGACAACGTTATGACACATTATCCAGACAGCTTCTAAGCAGACATTATCTACGTCCCAAATGGCACCTATTCCCTAAATAGTGCACTACTTTTCACCTAAGCCCTATGGGTCCTGGTCAAAACTAGTGCACTAAATAGGGTGCCATCAGGGGGCACACACATAGCCTCTCCTCTATCTTCTTAGGTCAACCGTGCCTCTGTGAACGTGAAGGGCACCTTGAAAGCAGCCAGGCCCATTTTACACTGTATACAGGGGAGACACAGTCCCACTACCTACCATCATATTACTCTGCTGCAAATTACATTCTTCTCCTCCTTGGTCGTGTCCCAAAATGGCACCCTATTCCCTATATAGTGCACTACTTTAGACCAGGGCACAATGGGGCTCTGTTCAAAAGTAGTGCACTATATAGGGAATAGGGTGCCATTTAGGACGTAAACCCAGATAATGTATTTGGGCCTCAAAAGTTTCAAATAATTAATTGATTCATCACCTTGTAATTCCAAGTCCAAGAATCTAATTAAGATGTTGGCTACCTACACATTTATTTCCCAAATCAAATAAAATGAAGGTTTATTGGTCACATACACAGTTTAGCAGATGTTATAGAAGGTGCAGTGAAATGCTTATGTTACTAGCTCCTAACAATGCAGTGAAACGTCAAAAAAGTACAGAAATAATAAAATAAAATACAAATATAAAATTGTTTTATCAGGAAATGTCAGAACAAATCCCTTTGTCCCGTCTGTCTACAACACTCACCATAAGTAAGTAAGGGGCGTAACCTCTCTTTGTAAAGGCATTAGGCACTTAAACGCATGAATGTCCCAAATGGCACCCTGTTCCCTTTGTAGTGCACTACTTTTGACCACGGCCCCTAAGACTCTGGTCCAAAGTAGTTCACTACATAGGGAATAGGGTGCCATCTGGGACGTATACAAAGTATTGAGCTGCCATTTTGGGGCGACAGAAGAACGTGTCAGTTCGCCTGGACTCTCTGACTGAAACCAGAAGGAGATTCTCCCTGTGTTCATTCTGTGTGGTTTTCAAATCTGAGCGACTTTAAGGTTTTTTCCCAATTAGTGCTTTAATCCATCCGTCCTTTCTGGCTGTGGTGTTTTTCTCCCTCTCCCTCCTACTTCCCCTCGCCACAGTGATAGATGGGACGCCTTGAGAGGACCAACACTGATTGGTGATAAGCAGCTTTTCTTTGGCCTCAGCTGCAGCTGTAGAACACAGACCCAACATGGCTGCTATTGGCTCGAACACCAGAAACGAGCATCGTTGTCTTTGAGTCCGTGTCAGCTGTCACTGTTTGAGAACACAAGTACCACCCAACATGGCATGCCAACTTTAGCATGAACATTACATAAGAATAGAGACCCA